TTAATGTTATATATACATATTAAATGTGCAATATTCTTTATAATTGCTGTTATTTGGATATATGAGAATAATCGTGAATATATTAAGCTCGCAAAAACAATAACCGGCGAACTCTTCGCACGTTTTACAAGTAAAACTATTGTCGTGCCTAATACTTTCATACGTTCATTTCCGATTAAATGCAATTCTCAAGTGAGTAAGAATGAATATATTAAAATCATTACGTAGTAAAATGACAAACATCAGGGTTCAAAACAGAATAATTCTCCAATTCATCTCGTTAGGATATTCATCATTATGTCCGTTTTTTGAAAATAAAAATACATATGCATGTATGCATAAATGTTTGACGAATCGATATAAACGCGCAATTAAAGACACGTATTTTTAGCACGTGATTTAATAAAAAATAGCAATTCTGCTTTACGCAGGGCATTTTAAAAAAAAACACAAAATTGTAAAAATATCCACGCGCCATAAAAAATATAAAATACTATGCAATTCCGTCCGCTTAGGATAACGCTACTTCATTTATTTTTTTTTATTTTTTTTTTTTGTTATTTCAAAAGTCACATGCTGTACCCACTCGGTTTTCGTTGGGGGTTAGTTCGATGACGGTATGTTATGATGTATATAGGACGGTTACACACGACTCTATGCACACGTATATAGAAACAGAAAAAGCCCTCGTCGGTCGCGAGCCTTTGGAAGAATACCTGAAGACAACTCGGACGTGTCGGGAGATAATAAAACCGGGTATAAATTCAGGTTGCAGAGATCTTTATCGCAGCAGATCCGCGAGCGATAGATGCCCGGCTTGCTGTTGCAGAAATGGGGTGCTTCCGGCGGCAGCCACTTACTTCGGTCGAGGCACCTTTCACAACACAATTCTAAAGTTTAATCCGGAAAGCTCGCCGCACACGGCTTCGATCGCATAAGCCGAAGTTATCAAACTTTATCTCTTTCCTTATACGATATAATCTACGTAACTATATATATATATATATTTATATCATTATCCAATCAATTTAATGTAATTGAAATTTTCAATCGATCAAATATAATGAAAATTTTACATACATCCTATAAATTTTTATTCCTTTACCTCTTTCTCATTTTTTTGAAAGATTAATAATAATTAAATAATTGAAATTAATATGTATATTTTATACATATGAAACGATAAAAATATATATACTTTGCACTCCATTTTACCTACTTAAATATATAAAATAGAGACAAAAAAGTAATTACAAGTCCACCTTCGACTCTGATCTACTTTCGCTCGATCGACATTCCATTTCAATTTTTCAACGTGCGCGACGTGGATTCACACTTAACAAAGCAACACTATCGACAGATTTTGCATTTATACGATCGTATATGTAAAACTGCCTCGAGCTTTCACATTACAGCCGGATCGAGTAATCTCGGTCGCGCTATTTTCAATACGATCTTCAACCAAATTATCCGAATTATCCGTCTGGCGCATCAAGCATTTAAGGGGCCGTCCACACGTCTGCGACCTCAGATCATCGAACTGTCTCGGTCGATCTTATCCGATTTCGAGAATGATCGAAGCGTTATTATAATATAAATTCGTTGCTGTGTTTTTGAGACTTCTCCAGGTTGTGTATTTGTAAAATTAAGTAATAATTCAGAGAGCGACGCTAGGTTTTCGAAGTTGACTGATATTACTACAATTAATATTCAATGATCCAATTATTTATAAAAATAGATAAGATAATACCTAATATTAGAAATTAAAAGTTTATGCAATGCAGTGACCCGAGCGCAGTAGGAGAGCAAATGTTTCCATCCGAGAGAAATGGAAATATAAATGTAGCTCTAGATATAGATAATAAGCTATTAAATGTGTAACGTTAGCCATATTTCGAAAGATATAATTGTGCTAGAAAGATGAGTCATATAAAAATTGTTTCATACATAATAAGTCTCTGATATATTTATAACAATATTAAATAAGAACGCTATCAACTAACTAATAAAAAAAGCAATTTGTAATGCTTTATATTAACAAAAGAAGAAAAACCATTCGCTTCAGAGTATATATAAGAATAAACTCGGAATACCTCAAATTAATTTTGGAAACTAATTGTAACCAACAATATTATATAATTTTAAGTTAATAATATCGATCCAATATTAAAATTACCAAACTTTCTTTGATGAACTTTCAGTCTCAACAAATATTTATCCCTCTTTAATGATATAGGAAAACTTTATGTCGCACACAATAGAATATACGTAATTGGAATTTTATGTATCAATTCAACATTAAACTGTCATCCTTTGGCGATGGTGCACCACGAGACATCGTCCACGATAAAGAAAATGTCGATCTTTACAGAGTCGAAGGTCGAGTTCATAGTGCGTTTGGCACACGCGCATTGCGTTATCTTGCCAACTTTTGACCTCTCGATCGTTGCTGATATTCCCAAGCTTTTCCGAAGCTACCGCAAAATTGAGATAAACACGCTTATACATTATTTCCATAATTAAGGTAACTTAAGGTAAATTAAAGGCAGCAATAAAATTGTCATCTCAATGAGATGACATAGCATGAATAAAAGTTGTAGACTTATAAAATTAATTTGACGATAGTCAAAACATTTTTAACAGAAATTTAACAGATACTCAAAGAGTGATCATGAGAAAATTTAAATTAAAAGTCTGAATTTAGTAATTTAATATCATTAAGAATGGTTTAAGGATGATTTATGTTAATAGAGGGAAATTTATAAATCGATATAATAGAATGAATTTACAAAAGTATAACGTACTCTTTTTATAGCCGCACTTTAAATCATTCGAAATAAAAAATAAAATCAAACTTATATCATGCAATATGTTTTTGCAGAAATTTGAATCATTCCTCGCTTTTGTTTACTTTGATTGAGGAATGAATCTAAAGTAAAATATTTAAATTTTCTATTCTTTGTGCGAGCATTAGAATCTTTCATTTCGCACAAAAATATAAGAATTAAATTTCATAAAGTTAGTGTACAATTAGATTATTAGTATAATTAATATAATTTGATATCATAATTATATATTCTTCAAAATAGAGGAAATCCCTTGCACATCCCGTATCTAAATTTTATAAAAATACATTGAATTATATCGAATAATGCGCTTCTATCTATGTTCATCCAAGATATTTATTTAGCCGATTTATCCCAGAATGATCGTCGAAAGTGCATCGTGTAAATTTGTTCTCAAGAATTTTCTTTCAAGACGACAAGATCTCAAAAAAATGCTAGATGTATATCACGAAAGTGTCACCTCATTTGCCAGAACTAGATTGAAACTTGTACATATGTATATGGCTACCCCCACGTATACGCGAGCAAGAAACTTCCTCGATGCATTCGAGATCGATACCGCAGGGGTGAAAGAAGGAGGGAAGGTACCATCGAATTTCGCCCCGAGTTCGCCCTGCGATCGATCGCGACCAGAATTTCCGTACTTCGGTGTGTATAGCGGTTCGAACTTGAAATCTCGCCACGCATCGCATTCGGTAACGTTACCAACGCGACGACCGGCCGACAACAATAATTCGTTTCCGCCGAAACGAGCGCTAATCATGGTCCGGGCGAGGAGCGTGGGCTGGAAAACCGGCTAAACGTTCGTTCGTGGAAACCACGACGAGGGCATCGATCGCGACGTTGAAGCGAAACCACCGAAGGCCGTCGTTTGATACGAAGACTGCGTGGTATTTTTCGCGGATAGTGACCTGAACCTTCAAACGCACGAGGCGCATGTGTGAGAAAATATTACGTAAGAAACATGGAGAAAAAGAATTAACTACCATAGTTCAATTTTAGCTGTCCATATATTACAACCTGAAATTTAGTTATGCCTAAATTTCGTGTGTATATAATATATGAACAGTTAAAATTTAGCTATGGTAGCTAATTCTTTTTTTCCGTGAAGCTCTAAATAAATCGTCGTGTTTAGTCCATTGGTGCATAGTCTTTGAGCAATAAAAAAATATATTTTTCTCACAGATCTTTAATTAAAATTTTATCTTGAATGACAAATTATGTGTCCTATAATAAAAAATATAGAAATAATAAAAACTGTTAAACTATTACTGTATAGAAAAATGAAACTTTTACGAAATTCAAAATTTGTAATAATTTTTATGTAAATTCTTTGAAATATATTAACAAAAATATAAATTTTAAAATACAAAAGAAAAAGAAAGAGAAAAATATAAATATACCATATAATGTTCTTGAAAAATTATAAATCACATTTTAAATGTAAACAATTTTGCATTATGTTTAGGCATTAATAAACTAATTAATTATTAATAAAGAAAAAATGAAATCAGAATTAGAAATAAGATAATAAAACTGTAAATAATAATAAGAAAAAACATTTGAAACAAAAATGTCTAGCTGAACAAGTCTGTCAGTTTTATATTAACATTAATTATGTAGAGACAAAAAGCGTTGCAACGCTTCCATAAACTGTTATTCGTTCACATGATAAACTTATACCGATAACGAGAGTGAAGTCGATAACGAATCGATAATGGATCTTGTTTTGCTGCGAGCTAGCTTAGAAAATCTACATTAATATTAATGTCATTGACCGGTCACTAACAAGCCAGACGCTATAATAATTATCGTCCAATTCATTATGAAACGTCAATACAATATACCTATTTCAAACCTTTCTCTCGAGACAAAACTCGATTTTAGCACTCGATTTCTCCTAACTAATATTATAGTTATTTTGCAAAATTGTCCAATAATTTCACATATCTAAACAATATATATAGTGCACTGAGAATTAATAAATTGAGTGCAATTTCTCAGAAGCCGGAAGTTTGTCGACTTCAATCGAATGTTATCCACATAACTGATAAAAAATCTGCCGATAACCGAGAAATGCATCAATATATATAGAAGGGGGTTGCGATTTTAAATCGCATATATTTGTCAATAAAATCCACGTGCAAATCTTACCTCCGAGCATACGTGATAATGCCATTTTCCAAGCTCGTACTGGCGAAACAATAGCCATCAGTTTCGCACGTGTAATTGGTTTCTTGGCAAATGTCACAATAGCACTTCAGGTATCCTGAAAAACAAAAAAAACATTATATAATTTAAGTTATATGAACTAATCAAACTAAATTTTTCATTTTTTTAATATTTGAAAATTAGATTGTTTCCAGTGAAAACTTTATTAGACGCTATCTTTCTTCACATATCCGTTTTGAGATTTTAAATTTTCAATTTTTTAAATATTTTTCAATTAACAAAATGTATTAATAATATAGTCGCAATGTTAATAATTATTAATAACAGATTTAATCAAAATTTTATTTTTGCAGCAGATTGTTATGAATTATAATTACATGCTAATATCGTAAAACAAGTATTAACAAAAATTGTCACTCTTTTCGTGCATTTTTATTCGCATTTGTATAAGAACTTTCCGGATTCTATGTAAATTGATTTACAAAACTACTTTTCAAAAAGTTTTTATCATGTAATTCTTTTGCTTATTATGTGTTTATAAATCAATTAAAATTATAATATTTCACAGTTTAATGGTTATAAAAATTAAAGTTAAAAATTTATTTCAAATTAAATACTGTCAAAAAAGTAAATATATATATTATATACATATATACATATAATATATATTAACAAATGTAATTACTTTTTATATAATTTTTTAATCTTTAATATTAATTATGATAATATATGATTTGTAATACTATATGGAATATAACGAGCAAATAAATATCCATATAATTATAAATGTAGATGAATTAATATATTTTCTCATTTTTTTAACTACATATTTTTATCTTGCGACTAAGTGCATGACTTATTTGATGATATCGAATTCCATAGGTAAAATAAATTTCGCAAAAGAGCGCCTGCATGCGTCGACATGAAATGGAAGAAATATGGGAAGAAAGATATTATCGTGAAACGCTATACGGCACTTATCACAATTAAGGGGCAGTTTATTTTACGATAATATAACATGGTCGTGAACTTCGCAAATATTGATGCGCAATTTTTAAAATACATTGAATAATTGTCAATCGCAATTACTTTGTGTGTATGAGAGAGAGAGAGAGAGAGAGAGAGAGAGAAATTAGCATTTTTATATTTTAAAAACCATTGTAGCATTTTTAAGAATGCATAAAAAGTTAAAAATAAAAAAATTTGGAAACCAAAATATTTTATTCCTAATACAGTCAATTTTACAATATCTATCTATTAAAAAAAAGATTAACCCAATAATATTTTAAACTAATAATAATATGAAGATTTACGAATCAAGTAATGAAGATCTATTCTTCAGTTATAATTTTATATTGTATATAAATGTGTTATGTATGTTAAATATAAAATTACACAAATTAACATACTTTTTTTTATAAATGCAATTAAAAACAAATACATTTTGCTTATAAATTTTTGACTTATGCATGTAAGCATTATGCAATTGATCATTTTATAATGTAAAAAAGATAGTCTGTCATATTAATTTTATTTTATTGAATTATAGAATTGAATGTAACAAATTGAATAAACTGACTTAAGAGCCTCATTAAAATTTTCAATTGCGGATTTGATAAGAATGAGTTTAATTTAAGTCATTAAAATACGCCCACATTGAATGGCCTCGTTGCTTATCTCTCTTTAACTAAAATATTAGTTTTCTTAAAAAACATTTCTATAATATTGTATACAGCATTAGTTTTCAAGCCTTTTATATCAACAGTTACACTGTAATTATTGCACAAAATAAAGTATGAATCTTATATAAACTCTAATTATTTGTAATACTGCCAGAATTTTACAATATATCATAAAAAAATTTTAATTAAAAATATGTACTATTAATTAATTAATGTAGATAATTAATTAGATAATTAATTTAAGTTTGATTTAATTAGATAACAAAATATGGATAAAAACTATTGAATGATATAAAATAGATTTGCTATTATAGGTAAAAATTATATGCATATGTTAATAAACATATAACAAATTATGATAAAATAATGTAAATTTCAATTTTTCAATAAAAAGATTGCTGTTTTTAGACATTTATTAGTAATTTACTAATAAATTAGGCATTTATTAGTAAATTAGTAATGCATGATTGCATAATTATTGTATATATATCTAATATACATTTCAATTTTTTAATTATAAAATGAGTAACCACGCACAGTATAGGAAAAATACTCTATTGATTAATAATTAATTCGGCATAATAGTCATGACATCATTGCTATTTCTTTCTAGCTCTAGTTTACAATTCAACAATAATATGGAGAATGCAGCCACGATCTCATATTTAGTATTCGTAAAACAAATACGCATTAACACGCAAAACAGCATTCATATTTTTACTGAACATTTAGAACGAAATGCGTAAGATTTTGAACTTAAATTAAATATTGTGAATTGAATATCGATGAAATATAAGTGTCAAATAATTATTAGGTAATTAATTTCAACATTAAATGTGAGATAAAAGTATATGTATAGGTCAAAGTATGTTCAGTTCATGAACACTTCTGACGCATAATATCAATTGATAAAAAAATGACGCAGACGATATTCACATAATCACGATCAATATTATGCTCTTTTTTAGTTACATGGAATTTTACTCCATCAGTATAAGATTTTTACAATATTAATACTTAATAAATCTATATTAAATTTTTTAGCTAGAAAAAATTTACTTAAAATTTTTCTACACACACACACAATATTTATGATATATTCTGTACACTAATTATTGTTGGCTGTTTTTTTTCAACAAATTCAAAATTCCAGTAAGTTTAATATCGTATTAAACGTTTGTATCAAAAGTAAATTTTATTTGTTATGTATGTATAAATTATGCGTCGTGTGTATTGGCTGCCTTTTTTTTTAGAACAATATGGTTTTATTATGATATCTCGTTGGCTAAATTGTAAGAGGTATAGGTCAAAAATTATTTATGCGAACTTGGCACTCGACTTTCCAAAAATTACTTTTATAATACGGAAAATCACACACACACACACACACACACACAAATAGCATTATATTACTACACACAACTACGATTCTAAAAAAAAAACTGCGCAAGCAGATTTAAAATATCTTAAAGTGAGGTGCTGGTCATTTTTTAAATTTTGTCTTTTCAATTGCAAAAATGAATAAACGAAACGAATAAACAAGATTATTTTTACTACAAACGAATCTAAAAATAATTGCGTAAGCGGATTTAAAATATCTCAAAGTGGTATGACAATCTTTTTAAACATTTTTTATTTTTTAACTGATAAAACTAGAAACGAAATGCTATCATTTTCTGTATTAAAAAATTAATTTATAAAAATTCAGTTGCTAAGTTTGCCCTACGCAAGTATCGATGCACGCACAATCGACGTATTCGTTCCACTTTAAGATCTACATCGATCTATCTCCGCTTAAAGTCTTACTCGAACTTAAAAATATCGCAAATTCAGCTATGTAAATTTGGCACCTGACTTTCAAAAAAATTAATTTTTTAATACAGAAAATAGTTTTTCGTTCGTATAGTTGTTTATAGTAACAATAATTCCGTTTATAATCAATTAAAAAATTTTTAAAAATGATCAGCATATTCGAGTTTAATTGTAAGATATCTTAAATCCGCTTGCGCAGTTTTTTTTTAAATCGTTTGTAATTGTTTTTCGTTTGGTTTATTGTTGCACGGTTTAAAAATTGACTAATTATCAAAAGTGATTTTTGTCAATTAAATAATTTTTCAAATCTGCTTCTTCCATCAATGTAAATTTCGGTTGCAATTGGTACAAACTACAAAAGAATGTGAATAATATAAAAAAAATAAATTTTAAAAATCTTGAAAGTTAGCAAGTTACATTAGACAATTTGTTTGAACTATATTGTAAAAAAATTGTCTCCAAATGATCTCAACAATTTATCATTAACAGGTGCGATGTGATGACTGAGGAATATCCTATATATTTATTATAATTTTAAAAATTGATATTAAAAAATGTTAGAAATATTACAAGTATAATATGAATATATCTTTATATACATATAAGAAAAATCGCGATGTTACGTATTTTTTACTCCGTGACAGCGCACTTTATTATAAGAAATAAACAATTTCATCCTCGTTTCTCCCTATTGTTTCTGCATAATCGTTCTTTTAACACAGCTAATACGTCTTCTACGAGAGACATTAGCTAATATTTGCATGTATGTGCGCAAGACACTATGCTTGTTGTACAAACGTGTACGTATGTATGTATAGAATCTCGTTAACATCGTTCTTGCAGCGCATAATCGGTCTTTTCGTCGGACCTATACGATCGTTTTATCAAACAACTTGCAACGTTAATAGCTCGCTAAGAATCCGCGGAATAATAATGTACCACCAGGACGAACAAGCAGTCGTGCACGGCGTTTCGTCTATAGGTTGCAGGAAAGTCAGAGCGTGTGCTGCTTTTTCAATGAGGATTCGAGAGCCCGATTTGCATGCATGACAATTACCAAGCATCGAATCCATCAGAGCGAAGCCATCGGTCTCGTCGTGTAAGAGAGAGAAGAGGATATATAACGAAGATACTAGAGAATAAATAAAGTGAGGAGAGGGAAGTTAGAAGACGGAAAGTGTATGTACATATATATGTGAGAAAGATAGAGAGAGAGATAACGAGAAATAAAGAGAGAACAGCTCCTTTATTACACCAACGATATCGTTAAATCGAGTGTTTCCGAACGAGGTCTTTCTTGTTGCAAGACAAATATCAAGTATATCTTTTTATGCTATTTACATACAGTTCGCTAGTTGTTTGTATCAATTCTTATTTGCGCAAACTTTTTTCTCGATCAAAAACGAAAAAAACATTCTCGTTAAAATGATTATGCAATAAATAAAAGGCATATTAAGAGATAAGCAAGTTGAAATATTTCAGTCATGCTTGATTTCAATAATATAGGTAACAATATATCATAAATATTAATATCAATAAATTGAAAGATTGCTTTCCTTTTTTATAAATAACATATAAAAGAAATAATTACTCATAATATTTCAATATTAATATTAAACTTGTTGCTTTCTTTATAAGACATTTTTTCTTAATTGTTGAATTAATCCATAATTTGTACTTTTAATAACACGTCGGAGAAACAATAATACGTGTATGTTTATGAAATGTTGTGCAAGCTAATAAAAATCTAATTATTAAATATTTTGCTGTAAATACAGACTAAAGCACCGAAGAAATACGAGACACAAATAAACTATGAGTTCTCATATCTTAATTAAATAAGGAATATGAAGATAAGAACACAGATGGTAACGATATAAATAAATACATGATATAAATAAATCTATGTAATTATTAAGTTTACGTCTTATAATTAAAAGTATTACTTGCTGAAGAAAATAGTCCTATCTGCTCAAGTGCTTATGCGCGAACGATCTTGTTATTCTCTCTAGATTGTATAATCTATCACAAACGATCAAATCTCAAAATCGCTAGGCATTACCTTTTTCTTCTGAATTTTATTTTATAAATTCAAATAAATAATATCTCGATTAAATGCATCACAATAATAACAAAAATTAAATTATAATGAGCAGCTTATGGCATTAACAAAGCAGATTTTCAATACCGAATGGAAAATTCTATTTTATTTTATTTCATATATATATTTTAATAATTTTATATATTTGCATAGATTTTATATTTTAATTGTTTCAAATATGTATATCTTTTAAATATTAAATCCACGAATTCACAAAAATAACAATTTAATAATCTAACAAAATCTATAACAATGATCGTTCACCCACAATGAAGAGTAACAGTTCAGGACAATAAATAATATAAATATCCGACTGTGTTATATCTCTTGTGTCGAAATAAAACATAAAGCAAATTCATTGTTTAGTAAATGTAAAGCGAAAACATAACAATTATACGAAGATAATCATAAGGATTGTTTATTTTTCAATTCTATATTTTAATTGTATCTATGTATCCTATGAAAACCTTAAAAAATAAAATGTAGAGAATTTTATTAAGAAAACGCATTGAAAAAAATTATCAACTTAATTAAATCGCTCAACCAGATTACTATTTTGTTAATTAAACATATATAAGTATTTAAATCAAATACCTACACGTTTTCTTAGATTTAATGTTATATTTAATTTTAATATTTCTATAAGTTCAATTAACAAAATACTATTTAATTGATATAAGAATCCACATAATATAAGAATATTTTCTATTTTCGAAAATATGCATTTTTTACTGCAGAAATAGTGTTCATTCATTCTTCCATGATTTTATATATAATTTCATTATAAATTAATGATAAAATTTTTTTTCAGTCTCTCTATAGTACGAGATTAAAGATGCATATATCGAAGCAAGGTATAAGGGTTAAAACAATTATAACGGTATACTGACATGAGAAGAGAGGGTTAAAGCGTGCGCGTCCCGATGCGCCCCGGCTCTTAAAAACGGAGGTGCAGAGACCGGGACATAACAGAGAGAAGGCACCGACTGCACCGGTTCACCCTTCCGCATGCTTTTCAGACTTCGTGCAGCAACGAGATTAAACGGCCCTTCTGTACACGACGGTGCGTTACTTACGCAACGTTATGCGCGCACCGTCAAAGGGGAGAAAGCGGTGAGACAGAGAGAAGGAGCGGAGACTGGAACGGAGGAAGAAGATAGAAACGCGCGAGCTACGAGGAGAGACAGACTCGACAAAATCATAGAAAGAGAAAGAGACTTCTCTCACGCACACATGCGTGCAAAAAATATACACACATATATATACACACATACTCTGGTAAAGAATCCGTTCACAAAGCATATGGCGTGAGACAAACGGAAGTGCGTTAAAGAAAAGATGAGATTCGCCGAAAATCTTATTGCATCCTTTTTCTTATAATATTATGTTGTTAATTTTTTTTTTTTTTCTATATTAAGTCTACGGGGAGAATTTTTACTTCCTATCTTTAAGATACTTTGAACGCAATTATTTAGTATATTCAGGACATTCAAATTATTTAAATATACAGCGGACATGCATTTAAATGAGTCTCTTTCGTAAGAGTCACGGTCGAAGATTAAGGATCGTATATAAATATAACAAAAAAAACGTGAAATACTTTTTACGCTTACTTGAATATATGTATATATCATTTTTGTCATATATATTGTTCTAAAACCTCCGATTCAAATTTTGATGATAATTGTCTGACTGAATTTTTCATAAAATGTCAACGCACGTATAATATTTGAGTTACAAATAATTGATAATAAAAAGATTTTTTTCACATTGTATAATTGAATATATTAATATTCTCCATGATTATCTATTTTCTACTACAAAATCTTATCGTAGTCTGTATGTTTATTTAAATATTAATTTTTTCAACATTTTAATTCGAATTTGACAGATATAGATTTTTAAGATTAGATGCTTTATGTTATAATTAATGTATTAGACTTTGAAAATATTAAATATATTGAAAAAATCAACAATCGGATCATTTCTTTAGTAGTGCAGCCAATATTTACATATATTGTACTATATCTCGATACAGATTTTTGTAAATATTCTTAATTCAATTAAAAAAACATGTAAAATATATTTTTTATTAGGTTCCACGTCCATATCTACTTAAAGATAAGAAAGATAAGTTGCAAAACTTATTTATTTTATTTAGAATCGTATCAAATTCTTTCTATTTTTTTATATTTTAATGCACTGTGTATATATTTATATAGGCATTATATTGAATATAAAATTAATATAGATTGAATGTATAAGTTATATTATATATATATATATATATATATATATATATAACAATTTAATACATATAAAAATTTATGTAACAATTGAAAAATATATATCTGAAACTGTTATATATGATAATACTCTGATAAATCCAGTTAATCATTCAATTAAGTTTCATATTACACTAAAAAAATTGTTAACTTAATTAAATCATTTAAGTAAATTACTCTCTGTTTTGTTAATTAAACATATATATTAGTATTTAAGTCAAATACACGTTTTGTCAGATTTAATATGTTATATTTAATTTAAATACTTCTATATATATGTTCAATTAGCAAATTAATATTTAGCTGAATGATTTAGTCAAGTTAACAACTTTTCTTTCAGTGTATAAATTATAAATAAGATTTTGCGTTGAGAAATTATATATATATAATTTTACGAAATTTCTAACATTCCAATAAATGCTATATATTACTATATGCATATATTTTTATTTTTCTCATAATCAACCTACATCAAAAGTATCAATCAAAATTTTCATAATTCTTAAATTAATTTTCACATATATATTAGTATTTAAGTCAAATACACGTTTTGTTAGATTTAATATTATATTTAATTTAAAGATTTCTATATGTTCAATTAACAAATAATAATATTTAACCGAACGATTTAGTCAAGTTGAGAACTTGTTTTCAATATATAAAGATTTTATATATAATTTTACGAGATTTCTCTAATTTTCCAAAAAATGCTATATTATAACTATATGCACATTTTTCTCATAATCAACCTACGTCAATAAAATTCTCAATCAGAATTGTCATATAATTCTGAAATGAATATTTCCATCTCCATCGATATAAATATAAACTTGAGGCAAAATATATAAATATATAATATATAAATATTAATTTGCTAATTGAACATAAAGAAATATTTAAATTAAACGTAGCATATTAAATCTGACAAAACATGTATTTGACTTAAATACTAATATATATTTAATTAACAAAACAGAGAATAATTTACTTAAACAGTTTAATCAAGTTAACAATTTTTTTTAGTGTAATGTAAAATGATTAACTTAATTGAATGATTAACTGGATTAACAGAATATTATCGTATATAACACTTTCAGATATAGATTTTTTCAATTGTTACATAAATTCTTATATGTATTAAATTGTATAATATATAATTTATATATATATATATATATAATATAACTTATACATTCAATCTATATTAATTCTATATTTAATATAATGCCTATATAAATAAGCATTATTGTGAAAATTGGGCGTCGCAGCGAGGTGCCATAACGCAAGAGGGTAAAAAAAGAAATACACAAAGTATGTACATACCATCCACAGGGCACGACGCGTGGAACAAGAAGAGAACAGCCAGGGCGAGGAAGCTCGCCATGCCGCCGTCGCGGACGCTTCTCGTCCTCATCTTCCCTGAACTTCCGCCGCAGCCGGTAGTCCGCCGTGATGATCGTGATGCTGACCGCCGTCGCGGATCCGCGAGGAATCCACCGCCGGCGATGATGTCGTTCGTCGCGGCTCAACGCCGATCGCGACCGGGTGTTCGCGCGCGTGACTCGCGGACGATGACGACCGATCGCGGTATCATCCTCCGGCGATCGCGGAGATGAGACGGTGGCGAGGAGATGACGTCGCCCCGCCGACGAGACACTTGTCACCGCGGTTGTTGCCACTGTCGGGGCCGCTGACGCGCGGCGCGCACTCGCATAAGAGCCACTTCCGGAGGATCGAACGAAATTCGATTCTTCGGCTTTTCGATTCTTCAGTCGCAGCCAACTTCACTCTTCACGTCCTTTCTCTCTCTCTTTCTGTTTTTCTACACGAGAGCGTTGTTGTTTTTATCACGCACGTCTCTCCTCGCGACGTTGGTCCAGATAAGGATTCTTCGTTTGACAGATCGAAGACTCGCCGGGAAAATGAGGGATCCCTTGAAGAACCGGTCGTTTCCTCGTCAGATGCGGCTCTTCAGATGCCTGTCGCCGTCGTGCGACGTCTCCGTCGCGGAAGATGCGCCGCCATTTTCCTACCGACAGGCCCGGCCTATTAGCCTCCGACGAGCACGCTCGAGCGATGTCGAAGGATATAATGTAATATGTATTTTCAGGCTGCTGGCTCGCGAGGAGGTGTCACTGGCGTTCAGTCGTGCCTCAGCACGGCTCGATCTCGCGAACACGACGCCTCGTCGCGCATCGTCGTTCTTCTCTCCGTTCTTTCGGCACTGTTCCCGTAATTTTCGGCGCAACCTTGACGCGACCCGTGACGTATCTCACTCGCGACCTCACGCGCCGAACGTCGAACAGCGACTGATACCGCCGCCTGCTACTGCCGCGCTACTGCTGCCGCTACCCCCACTCCTCAACCTTCAGCCGATAGCGAAACGTGTCGCTGCCTTCTTTTCAGGGTCGTACATAGCTGCCTGTACGATGTAGGCACTTCTTTTGCAAATAATTGTTATAACATATTGAAAAATGGACATCATAAAAACATTTACAATTAAAACATTTACAATTAAAGAGAATAAAATATTAGAAATAATATATATATATATATATATATATATATATATATATATATATATATATATATATATATTAAATTAATATATATATAAATTAGCAGAATATTTAATTCCTTTTTTTGATAAAATAATTGCTTAATTTTTAATTATATCTTTTCATAGATTTAAATCTTCATGAAAATTGAAATGAATACTTTATGCTCGACTATGAACAGTTTCACATCTTATTTTACAAATTTTTAAAAAATAGTAAAAAATTGTAATCTCATAAAGAATTAATTGCAGATAATTGTTATAAGCGTGTTGAAAAATCGAGATCATAAAAACATTCATATCATATACATCATATACATATATATATTAAATTAAAAAAACATTTAATTCCTTCTTTTGATAAAATAATTGCTTAATTATATCTTTTTATATATTTAAGCTTCCAAAAGGTTGAAATAAATACTTTATGTTTAATTATATATACAGTTTCATATCTCATAAATTTGCAAATTTAAAAAAAATAATTGTAAATCTCATAAAAAGTTAATAGCATTACAATTAATACTTTATATATAAAATTAATTAAATCATATCTGTATTTCTCTACTTTCTAATATACATATTATTCAAAAATTCTTGCAATTATTTTATCATGTCTGTGTTATCACATTTATATGTTCATCAATAACAAAGAATAACAAAAAATTGATACACTACTGTAAGACAATTCACGCATGCGCCGATTCGATATACATATATATTACCATTCCATTAGTATCAAAATTTCGCAATTTACAAGGTATATTAATTTGACGCAATTCCCATTTAATAATATTCTTCCCGTTGCAAAGAATATTTCAACGAAACAAAATCTTGAAATATTTTTACTTTATAAATATTACATTGTGTACATGCAGAAAATATAGAATATAAAGTACATATATCTAAAACCAATGTCAATTCTTTTCTTAATTTTTCATAAAGAAAGGCCCGTGACAGGACATTATTTTCTCACAATTTTTTCAGGAATATTTAACAAATTCCATAATATATACAGAAACAATTATCATGCATGCAAAAGCTTTTTTTTGTAAACATTTATTTATAAATTTCTTTATAGTATATACTTATAAACTATACACATTATGTAAATCAATATAATTTACATATGCACATATAAGTATGAAGATACTCTATTAAAATAGTGTCACAAGATTTAGAAATAACTCACTAATTTTAGTAATACATGTCTATTAATCACAAAGTAATTTTATTAATTTTAAATAATGTAAAATGTTATTCTTTATTACAACGCTTATCACAAATGAATAATAAATTATTATCTGATTTTTTGCCAGAAACATTGCTAAATTATAAATTCTTTAGTTAAAATATTTTGATAATGTGACAAATGTATGACAAATTTCAAAACATTATAAGATTATCAACCTTTGAAATTCATCATCATATTATATCATTTGCGATATATTACACATGTATTTCTTTATCAAAGGATTAACCGTACTAAAATTGACAGTATAATTAAATGAGTGCAAATATTTGTGTATAATAAAATAAAATTTTCTACAGTAATTTTTGTTATTAAACATTGTTGATATGCGTTGAGGCGATCCAGAGTTGTGCGAAATTATCCTATAATATTTATATAATAGATAATACAAATAAGCTCTCTGCCTTTTACACCACCAGACAACTATCTTTCTCTCTCTTTTTCTTTCTTTCTATCTTAATATATCTAGAACCATTTAACTGATCATCTTCCTTTAAGAAAATACTATGAAATCAAGCTTTCATCATTATTAATATACAATCAAATAGATAATTGTGATAAAAAATCCAATATGTTTTTCTTTTAATTAATTCATCTTAATTTGTCTCTTTAAGTGTTGTAAGATAAACGTTACATAATGTATTATTAAAAATAATATAGCAATATAAGCTGATCTAGCTTTATAAAGTTTAATCTCATAAAAAATGAACAGAAACTCACAAAATAAAAATAGAAGATAAAATATTTTCTTCAATATCTCTTATAGATTAAAGTATATTTCTGAAAAATGTAATTTTATACTGTAATTTCCTTTTCTCTAACCGTCTACATTAGTTATAGGAAAAATTGATACAAATTTACATAACAACATAAAATAAATGTCGTATGTAATCGCATATTATTATATTGCTCAGTCAATTATTTATACGTTCATCAAAAGATAAACGTACTCATTAAATTAATTATATTCTACATCTTATACATCTGTCTGTCAGAAAAGTAATGAGATTGAATATGTAGTTTAATCTCATTATTTGCATTGTGTGTATTTAATCTCATACTTTTTGATAGACCGTATATTCTATAAATGCATTCATATATCTATAGATACAATCAACAAGATCCTTGTTAATTATAAATATTACATATGTATCAAATTGGAAGTATTGTTTATAGATTGGTCTATTTCCTTTTAAATTTGCGTTTGACTACCCCATGCTCTCGAAATCGCGGATCTCGCAAGTTTTTTACCAATAGTCTGAACAACAAAACCAATCTTTTGTAACCGATCATGATCTAAAATCTTCCTTCCGTCAAAAATATATGCTGGTTTCATCATTCCCGCATAAATTTGTGTGTAGTTCAGCTCCTAAAAATTGCATAACAGATAATAAAATAGTGATTAATTTTTTTTTATACAAGTATTAAATCGGTATATTTAACGTGATCTCATAAAAAAATTAGCACGAATCATATATCAATGATGAAATCTCAGACTTATCAGATTAATCAAATTAAATTAATGGTTACATAATATATAAATATTTTTATCGAAGAAAGAAGCTAATTCTTACTTTATCAATTATCAAAGGAACAATCAATCTATTCCGTAGTTATATAATGTATATAAAAAAAATATCAAAAGATACTCACGATAAATTCGTCCCATTCGGTGCACAAAACTATCGCATGTGTATTTTTCGTAGCGCTATAAGCATCTTTATAAATACTGATTCGACTTTTTACATCTTCGGGATTGCTCGTTACACTCGGATGAATCAAGTCTTGAATGATTTGAGTTTCCTCGACCTACATATATTAGAAAGGCGTAATGGTAATGTATTCATTGGCAATTATTCACTAATGAAATTCTTTTTAATTTCTGTGATTGACTTTATAGAAAAATTATATTATTCAATTAAAGAGTATTAAAAATAGTACAGATTGTTCTTTAAAAGAAACATGATCTATATGTAAAATTTAGTTTAATATGTAATAATTTATTTAATATACTAATAAACAAATTAATTTCACTTTAACGAAAATTTAATTATAGTAAGTAGAAAATTATATTTACAATACTAAACGTATAAGAAATTGAAAATTTTTTCCAAATAAGTTTTAAAAATATAATTATATAATGTATAGAAAATATTATTTTATTTTTTTTTTTTTAGAATCTAATTTAAAGTGTAATATGTGTGAATAAAATATAATAAACATCGAAAATTGTGACTTATGATAGCTTGCGAAATTAAATTTTTAATATGTTCCCAAAGTAAACCAAATACACTTAACATCTGGAACACGTTGTATAAGTAAAGAAAAAAGGTGCTGACCTTGGGGTCGTAAATATGAAGAACGGCGCCTTCGTCCAGTAACGTCTTTGCAACATGAATCGATGGTGATTCACGCGTGTCTCCAGTATTTTTCTTGAAGGCGAAGCCTAGCAAGGCAATCCTTTTATCCGTCACAGTGTTGAAGAGGGATTCTATGACCTTCGCGGAAAATCTCGATTTCTGATATTCGTTCATATTGATTACCTGTTGCCAATACGCCGCTACTTCAGGCAAATTCAGACATTCGCAAATATACACTAAATTTAGAATGTCTTTTTGAAAGCAGGAACCGCCAAAACCGACAGACGCGTGAAGGAACTTGGAACCGATTCGTGAATCAAGTCCGACTGCTCGAGCTACTTCGGACACATCAGCACCCGTGGCTTCGCATACGGCTGACAATGAATTTATACTGGATATTCGTTGTGCCAGGAAAGCGTTTGCAGCCTAAAATAAAAAAAGATTCAATATGTTTATTGCAATATAAATTATTATTACAATTTATTGTTTTATTTTTTTACGCTTGTCAAAATTTAATTTTGTTAAAAAGCTGTAATGTTTATTAATAGTTTATAATAATTTTTATTTTTTATTAATAATCTCCAAATCAAGTTATATACATCGAAAATCGAAGTGATAAAATTCATCATTTTAAAAAGCTATTTCTTATTATCTTATTTAATATATTTACATTTGCAAATAATGTGTTGCAATAGAATCTGATTCATTTATAAAAGAAATAGCTATTTCTAAAACTGATTACTTATAATAACATCGTTGTATTATGACTTAAAAGAGTAGAGTAAATGATTACTCACTAGTTTCGACAGTTCGGAACTCCATGTATTAGTCGTTAAAATATTTTCTCTTGGAATCCAATGTTCGTAAACTTTGCAAAGTTCTTCCATAGCTATTTGTCCTTCCGGCGAGTTTTCTCCACCGATCAGCACTCTATCTGCGTTTACCAAATCTTCTATAGCGGTTCCTTCGGCCAGAAATTCTGGATTTGAAAGAATCTGAAAAATAATTGACATTAACATAAACATAAAATCAAAAGACAAATAATCTCAACGAGCGTGCAAGAAATAAATTAACGCGCGCAGTAGTTGCAAAATTATAATTGCCTCAACAAAAAAGTCATGAACAATTACGCGGGATGAAGAAAGAGTGTTACCTTGAAAGACCGGAATTAATTTAAACAAATATAAACTCGTATTAGCGATTCTACAATTAATCATGATAATAGACACAGCAAAGACACAGAATGTAATAAAACTTTACATGCCACACATGTAAAGTATTGAATATTTTAATATCAATTTTGAAGAAACAATTCAATAGACACGATTTTTTAATAAAATAAATTAATACAATATAATATTTTTTGAGAGTAATTACTTAATAAATATTAAAGATAAGCACAGAGCAAAAATAATACCATATAAATATAAAATATATCATAAATCATGACAATTAACAATCAATTAAATTAAATTAAAATCGCAGTATTATGGAAAAATGTTACTTGAAGAAAGTTTATATTTTGTATTTTGCACATAGCACATTTTATATAGGCTGTGCAATATTTTTTTAATTTGATATGTATAAAATATATTTAATATTTAAATATAAAAACAGCAAACTAATTGTATATATATTTTAATTACACACAGCTTATTTTAGTCACATGTATATTACTTTCATTATAAAAATAAAACAATGCAAAAAATAAAATAAAATAAAAAATAAAATTGTAATTTAATGTAAAAAGTTTATTAAAAAATTTTATTTTAATTTAAAAGATTATTTTTTACTTTCGTTATTTCATTGTTTGTATTGTTTTATTTTTATAATTAAAATGATATACATGTAATTAAAATAAGTTATGAGTAATTAGAATATATATTTAATAGTTTGCTGTCTTTATATTGAAATATTATTAAATACATAGATTTTATATGTATCAAATTAAAAAATATTACAATTGCAGTTAACAAACGGCAATTTTACCTGATAGGAAACGCCTGGCTTATGATTGGCGCGCAGGATATTCATAATACTCTCGGCTGCTCGTACTGGTACAGTACTCTTCTCAACGACAATTTTGTCTCCTGTTGCGACTTCTGCGATCATTCTTGCAGCATTCTCCACGTATTTCAAGTCAGCCGCTCTTCCTTTGCCGTTGCCGAAGGTTTTCGTTGGCGTGTTCACTGAGATAAATATCAAATCTGCCTCCTTAATAGCTGTTTCGATATCGGTGGAAAAGAATAAATTTTTTCCACGACATTTTTGCACCACTTCGTCCAAACCAGGTTCATATATCGGCAATTTTTGCGAATTCCATTGTGCTATTCTCTCCTTGCTCTTATCAACGACGGTTACTTGAATCTCCGGGCATTTCAGCGCAATAACACTGCATGTGGGTCCACCTACATAACCAGCGCCAATGCAGCAAATTTTTCGAATTCTTGTCATTTTGATCAGCTGTAATTTAATCTGAAAAAATTCATACATATAATTGCGTTTAAAATCACATCTAAAGAAATTACAATTATAAAATATATATGTAGAATAAATTTTATGTTGCAATATAGAAAAAAATTATCAATTCTTATCTATGAGAAAATCATATATGCATATTTTCATCATATATGTAATTTCTTTGTCATTTTTCTTTAATTGAAAAGAAAATGTCAAAACAAAAAAAAATAAATAGCTTAATTTTTAAATTCTTTCTCTAGAATTAATAATGTGTGAATTGATGAATTCTCTAGAATTGATGAGTGAAAATTAAAGATTTATAATGACTGATTTTTAATTATTATCAAGTGTAAAGAATGATATATTATTTTCTGGATATTTAATATAATTTTTAATTATTTGAAGATAAATAGAATTGCATATATTGTTTTAAAATTTTATGTACAGCTATTATAAATTAATTTGTAAATTAATAACTTGTGTATATCAATATTATCTGATAAAACTAATCTAATAGATGATAACAAAGAAAAATAAAGTCTTATAATGATATCCTAAAATAATCTATTATAATATACATATACACATACATTTATATATGTATATATCTAAAAAATTTGATTTAAATTATATTTAACAATTTGTACTGAATAATTTCTTACAAAAGAAATAGAGATATTAAATTAGAAGGAATATATAATAAAAATATACATATAAAATTAAAAAAAAATTTATATGAAAGATTATTTCTGTTAAAAAATGTGGCTCTAAAGCTAAATGAAACATTGTCATATTCATTTTTATCAAAAAAAAATATTTTATCACAAAAATCCTTATTGCCTAAATTATCATATCACCAATGCCAGGAAGTTGATAAAAGTATATCTATCAGGCTTTGATAATATACATATGTCAACGAAAGTGTAAATATTATGTATTACTAATTTGTTTCTTATTATTTGGTAACATCAACATTTTTTCCTTTACATACCTATTGAGATTATATATAAATTATTGTAACATATCGCAGGATTATACGTTTTTGATTATTCAAATTGAAAGTTATATATTGCAAAAAATGTACTGAGAATTGTAAACCAATAATAATAAATAAAATAAATATAGAGATGGTCATTTTCATCCATGACATGTTTGGAAATACAATTACGTAGTACGTGCTCCGAAATGAATTCGCCTGAAACGATTCAGAAAATATCCATACAATTAATTCGTTTTCTTACTTACTCGATTAAAGGTGCGGACTCTCTGACGATCGGCGAAGAAGTGACATAAAAGCGAGTACAAAGGATGTGAGCTGCAGTTTATTTATTGCGAGCGAGATGATGCACGTGGCTTCCACAGTAAAAAAACAATTTCTTTCATAACAGATAGCTGCGGCGTGACGATGTTAACTCGCGCTGCATACACTTTTTATACATTTTGGATCCTTTGAACATCATACATCCGTCATTTCGAGACACTGTAGTATGGAGTGAAGTAAACGTTAAAACTCTACACCGATGTCGCATCGTTGCCACGTCAAGATGTCGCAAAAGCGCATGCGTGATTGGCAACACTGACGACTATGTTCACCTTTAATGAAAATACATCATAATGAATGAACATTATATGTAAATGAATGATTTTTCAGTACTGACAAAATATGCTAAAGAATTTAAATATTATATTATGATAACTTCTGAAATCATTCATAATATTCACTAAAGCTTATTAAAAATCAAACATATAAAACTAAATAATAAAAAAATAAATAATAAAAATTATAAGAATAAATAATTAAAAGAAAGTTTGCTTATTATGAATGTCTTATATGTAGGAAACTGCACTCATTAATAAATTAAAAGTATTTAAAATATGTATAATTAGTTAAATTAATTTATATATACTATATAATTTTAAATCATGCAGCTAGATTTGACGAAATAAATCTCTTATATTGACAGATTTTACACTCATTAAAGAAAATATTGCACATTAAGAAGATTTGAAATAATAATTTATCCTATACACATATTTGCCAATAAAAGTATAAATATACACTTTTAAAAACTGTTTTATATAAATATTTAATATTTTTTAATACAATATTTAATGCTTTTTGATGTTTTGTATTAATGTTTTTTATACTAATAGCAATTGAGAATAGATATTATCTTTAACAAAATTTAATTAATTGGAATAAAATACTCATTAAGAGCCTATTGAGAGTATATATAACTATATATATCAAAATATGATACTTTTCAACAGCACATGTAGTATAGGATGTACCATTAAAGTCTATTATTCTCGATCAAGCGAGACGTATGTGAATAATAATTCAATATATAATAGCTAACTGAATCAATTTAATTTTCTCGTTTATATTTCGTTGCAATAAAGTATCAGACGAAATAAGTTAGTGACTCTAATTCAGATTAAAGAAATAATTACTGTCCTTAATGATCATCACAAAATCTTAACTTTTAATTTATATTTGTCACATCAATTCTTACTTGATTAAATAAATATATTAAAATAAGCTTCTACACGCAATCGCGATCGAGATCGAAAAACTATATATAATATATTTCTTATAATAAATTATTAAGAGTTATCAACATTTTAAATTAATATATAATTACATATATCCTGACGATAGATATGCAAACACATTTTTCGCGTAATTCATTTAACTGAGTAAGAATTGTGAAAAATATAAGTATAAATTAAATATTTAGATTTTATAGCAAAATCTCTTTACAAAAATTATTTCCTTAATCTTAATTATATATATATATATATATATATATATATATATATATATATAATATATATGATATACATTTGTTTCTATTATATTAATCAATCCATACCTTGATGTATGTTTCATATAGAAAATGTTTCATATAGATAATTTCTGTTTACATTTATAGCAAAACAGATAGGTACAATCGAAAATACCCTGCTCGAATAGATTCTTATCAGTCAACATAAATCTTATCAGCCATCCTCACATGATAACAGCTTCAAATTACTAAAAAAACATCAAACTATATCAACATGTATAATTATAACATAACACACAACTATCATTATTGTAAATCATTATAAACTATAAATAAACAATATAGATTATAACATAAGATTAATGAAGAGAGAATGAAAGAAAAAGAGAAATAAAAATTCACATACATTTTCTAATAAAATCAATTGTGACATTAAATGTTTTGTCACATATTTGAATCACATGATGCTTGACATGAATTAACGATGTGATCCTGTAAATCTCCTCAATGATTTCTGTTCAATTAATTTTCTGTTTGTCTTATCAAACATTAACTAATCATTAAGCACTAATATTGTCGACTCTCTGGGTATATCCAAGCACTCGATCTTCAAATAACCGATATACCTGTTTTAAAACATATATTTCTGTATATATTTCATAATTTTCGAAAAATCATAAATGTGAAAACATTAAAATAAATATTTACCATGCAACAAGTTGTCTGAATTACAGACTACATTAAAGGCAATTTTATAAAACTCCTTTATAAGACATTCATGATACAGAAATAATTGGCTCAACAATGTAGTCCTGACGATGAGCTTGAATCCTTTGTATCATTTTCAGTGCTTGATAAATCTGTAACTGCATCTTGTTCTTAAATATTTCAACTTTTAGAACAGGTAGAAACTCTCTCTCTCTGTCTGTACAAAAGAATAATATACAGATCATCCACAGCAGACATAAACGATTTCACCAATTTTGTTGGTTGTCCTCTTTATTCTCCAACTTTTTCCAGAATACTCTGATGCTATACCTGTATGCTAATGGATGTTTTGTTCTATAATTCTATTTAATGATAACAATGCCCTCGATGAATTGTGACAGCTTGAAAACATCTTTTGCAAACTCTTCCTCCATGCATTCGTCTTCAGTCTGCGAAAGAGAAGATAATAATTTTCAGAATAAAAAAAAAATAAATCATCAAATTATTCGGTCTTATCATAACAGTAGTTGAATGTTTCACAAATTCTTGATCAAATATTTTATCAAAACAATTATGAATAAAGACATGTTTGAAAGGTGCTGTCCCGAATTCTTGTCAATATCCTTTAAAATATAATTCAGTGAAAAGAAAAGCGATAATTGATAATATATAATATTAATTATATGCAGCAGCTTCGCGGAAAAGCTCGTTCTATGCAAATAAAAGTGTATATTCTCTCAATCTGAATTCGTATTTACCACCATCATGTTTACGTTCAAACAGTTGGTCGAGACTTTGGGGGATTAAAACCTCTTATATCTCTACATCTTCTCCTAATACATACTTCTTCGTACAATATGTTTTGTCGTTAACTCGACGAGAGATGACGCGGAGAACATACTTTGCGAAGAGGGTATCTGTCAGGAGAATATCATGCGAAGAGGTTTTATTTCAAGCGTATTTACGAACATAAAGCGGGGATCACATACCTTTCCATAACGCATAAGCATAAGAAATTTGATTGGTTCATGAACGTGCATATGCATAAAGGTGCTTTTTCACGAGCCGCTGAAACCGATTGTTTGAACGACAAAAATGATCACATAACAACTTTTGTCGCTGAACTAAACACTAAACAGCGATAATTTTTGTTGATGAAGAGTAGCAGCGCGACAGAATAGACAGCTTGAGCAGTAAATGCTTTGTAGTTAAATTAATTCAAACTACAAAATTGTTGGTGTTGAATTATGAGCGACAAATCTGTCGCTTCAATTAGCGACACGTAAAATTGCACCTTACGCGTTATGGAAAAGTGTGTGCTCCCCAGATAAACAATAAACATATTTCAGCAGATTGCTTGCATAATGACAATAGACAACATTATTAATTGAAAATACTTACATAAACATTAACCCAGCAAACACCAATATATAATTGTTACATTGCTATAATAAAACGGAATATAACAGGTAATATAACGTGTACGTTACATGTAATATCCATGTTAGTTGTAATTTCTCACTCATAGATGTAACATTTTAATATAACATATATTACATTGTAGTTATATTGTAATTATATACCAAATAGCACATTGATGTATTGATAAGTCAGTGCTATCTTGGGATATAATGACAATATAACTACAATGTAATATATGTAATATTAAAAATGTTATATCTATGAGTGGGAAATTACAACTAACATATACGTTACATGTAACATGCTTAAGTATATAACATTTATATATTGTGTTTGCTGGGAACAGATGCGTTCTCATATGATATAAGTCCAGCAAACACAGTATATAAATGTTATATGCTTAAGCATGTTACATATAACGTATATGTTAGTTGTAATTTCCCACTCATAGATACGTAACATTTTTAATATTACATATATTACATATTGTAGTTATATTGTCATTATATCCCAAGATAGTACTGACTTATCAATACATATCAATGTGCTATTTAGTATATAATTACAATATAACTACAATGTAATATATGTTATATTAAAATGTTACATATGTAACATTTTCTATGAGTGGGAAATTACAACTAACATGGATGTTACATGTAACGTACACGTTATATTACCTGTTATATTCCGTTTTATTATAGCAATGTAACAATTATATATCGGTGTTTGCTGGGTTACGATATAATGTTTTATAAATATGTTTAAAATATTATTAATAAATATTTTTAAAAAAATGTTAATTGATGTTTTATAAATGTTTTCAAAATATCATTTAATAACATATTGCTCTCAAAATATTAATAAAATATTTTAAAAACGTTAATTTCAACATTACCGAAACCTCTAAATCGATGTCAAAATTTGTTCATAATGATATACAATGTTAAAAACGACATACTTGACAACAATAATAACGTTGTAGCAATGATTTTTTGGTTACTGGGCATATATATGCATATGAAAATATTTTAATAATAACATGTACATATTTATAAATTAATAAATAATAATTTATAATTTAATGAGAAATATGATAAGTTATACAACTTAGCATCAATTTTGGCCGTGTTCCAAAATTGACTGTCAGTACTGAAATGCTATAGTTTATGTCACGTATACTATAGTATTTCAGGACTGACAGTCAATTTTAGAACACGGCTTATATCCTGAAGACATGCGCAGGATCACAGATTAATAGACAGATCGCCAAAGGTCTGGATGAAGGAGAGACCAGCATTTCTCACTGATTTCAGCGCCATATTGTAGTAGTGGTCAATGCAGTAACTATTAATACGTTCCCAAGATAAGAGCGTCTCATGCTCATGAACTCGTCCGGCGGCATGTACGAGATTTATCTTTTCGTAGCGTTCGCGTATTTCGGAAAGGACAGAATTTTATGATGTTATAAATAAATAAATAAATAAAATATTAACCTGACCTATTATAATTATTTTTTAATAAATGTTTCATTATTATTATCATCTCAGTCTAAGTCGTTTAATTAATTTTTAGTTTTTTAATAATTAATTTAATTTATTCTAATCATTTTAATATGTGAAAAATACTAATACGTATACGTTTTATAATGAATTAATATATTTCGAGAGTCGAATTATATATTTTTAATAATATAAAAGTGTTCAAAAATTATATTTGACTTTTAATTTTAATTATTTTAGCAAAGAGTTCCGAAATCTCTTACACACATAATAGGGATTTTGTTCATCCATATAATTCGCAATTAAGTATATATGTTAATTATTAATTTTAATAAAATACAAAATTAAAATTAAAGGTCAAATATAATTTTTGAACATAAATATATTTAATTTGTTATAAAACGTATACCCGTGATAGTATTTTTCTCGTACAAAAATAACTAGAATAAATTAAATTACTCATAAAAAAATAAAAAAATAATTAAATAATTTATATTTTATATGATAATAATAAAACATTTTATAAAAAAAACAGATTTAATAAATATAAGTATATATATAACATGTACTTATATTTATTGAATCTGTTTTTTAATAAAATGTTTTATAAGCTTAGAAAACTTGACTTTGACGTAACTAGCAAATTTTATTTAATTATTTCACGACGGTTTGACGTAATAAAATGTTTTATTATTATTATATAAAATATAAGTTTAAATTCTTTAATTAATTTTTAATCTTTTATGATTAATTTAATTTACTCTAATTATTTTTGTACGAGAAAAATACTATCATGGGTATACGTTTTATAATTAATTTAATATATTTGTGTTTAAAAATTATATTTGACCTTTAATTTTAATTTTTATTTTATTAAAATTAATAATTAACATATATACTTAATTGCGAATTATATGGATGAAAAAATCCCCATTATGTGTGTAAGAGATTTCGGAACTCTTTGCTATAAAATAATTAAAATTAAAAGTCAAATATAATTTTTGAACACTTTTATATTATTAAGAATATATAATTCGATTCCCGAAATATATTAATTCATTATAAAACGTATACGTGATATTATTTTTCTCATATAAAAATGACTAGAATAAATTAAATTAATTATTAAAAACTAAAAAGTAATTAAACGACTTAGACTTAGATGATAATAATAATGAAACATTTTATTAAAAAAAGATTCAATAACTAGTAGGTCAGGTTATAATTTTTTATTTATTTATTTATAACATTATGAGCTATTAAGCTCATCATCTCGTTCGCTCTCTGTCTTGCTTTCATTCGGCAAGTCACAAACGATATATGATACTCGTATGTTCCTACTTCAACTCTCGAGAATCTGAAACAAACGAAACTCGTGTCCAATATACAGGGTGTCCGGTAACTAACAGACCAATGATTACAAATGGATTCTTTGGTCAATTTGGGAACGATTTTTCCTCAGCAAAAATGTCGAAAAAGGTCATCATTTTTTACAACTTTCCAATCTTTGTCATTATGTATCTTTATAACTAAGCCTTAAATTAAAATTTTATTATAGTAAACTCTACCTGAAATTAACTGAAGAATGTAATTATGTTAGACTTTTAACTCCAAAACGTTTAGTTTTCAAAAACCTATTTTTTTCAATCGCTTATAACTCGAAAATTATTGACTTCTCAACATTTTTGCTAAGGAAAAATCGTCTCCAAATTAGCCAGAGAATCCGCCCTTAATCATTGGTCCGTTAGTTACCGGACACCTTGTATATATTATATAAAAGTGTATAGCACGTCAGAAGCTTGTGAGCTTACAGCGATAAGTAAAAACAATTGCGTATTTATTTCATTGCGTTTATCTGTTTAAACGCGCGCTTTAATTTTTCCAACGTTTTTGCCTGTTTATATTTTAAAGGTCCTCTCTTTTAAAAATCTTGTTTTAAAGATCCTCTCCGCGAGCAAAATTCGAAAACATAAATTATTTAAATTTAATAAGGAAAACAATTAGATATTTAAAGACAAGGCTCGTGTGATATTATAAAATTAAGATTTAAAAAGACAGGGCCAACTATAACGAGCATATTAAATTAGTGAGAGATGTAATGTCAACACATAATTGATTTATTTCTTAGTAGATACAATGATAATAAAAATAATAAAACGTTTCGGCTGTTACCTCAGCCTTCTTCAGTAAATATAAAAACAATAAAAATTCTCTTAAGAAAAATTATGACATATTACGCATTAGAGTCTATTTTTTAATGAACATTTTGGTTTAATAAGTCGATGAATTTAAATTGGGTTACGCTTATAACATTTATTAAATTAGATATTTTTTCTAATCGGCTAACCATTTTTTAGTTAAGATGGTAAACTTTTTGATTATGTCAAAAAACATGTAAACGAGTTCCCTGTTGTTAGTAGAACAGGTTGACGGCCCATTCCACGTCATCAATTCTTTTGAACATTATTAGTTAAAATTATCGTCAGAACCGCTTGATATGAGAATTGAAAACAATTAGATGTTATCCAGCATCAAAAAGTTAGTCCCCATCATCAAGGATATTTCCGAGTAAGTTCGTCATTGCAGTATATTTCACCGTGATTGTCTAAGTTGTAACGAAGCACCTTTCCCGACGCCACGGATCGGCTCGTCGGTGCCAGGATTCGGGAAGAGGGGAGACTCAGATTTACAATGACACACGGTTGCTCTGGTAAAAGTAGAGTTTATTCGGGGCCACCTTCCTGTGGTTCTCCCGTGATTCAAACCATTATACACAGCACAGTATAATCGGACGAAACGCGACCAGATGATACAGACGCGTACACGACTTATTGCTAGGATTGACAGATAGAAATATTACGGACGAGACGCGACCAGATTATACGGACGCGGACACGACTTATTGCTAGGATTGACGGATAGAAATATTACGGACGAGACGCGACCAGATTATACGGACGCGGACACGACTTATTGCTAGGATTGACGGATAGAAATAT